ATGCCTATCACATAAACACATATAAAATGAAGGGGTGAAAAAGATTTATTCCACACAGAATATAACGTGAGCGCACAGCTGGTAAAAAAGCAGCAATTTTAGTTGGGCCCCCTGACCTCATGGGCCTTGGGACAACTACACCCAAAGCACCTCCTGTCTTGTCTCTCCAAGGCTGAGCCAGTGCATGAGCTGCCCTAAGGTGCCCATACACTGTATGATTATCACACGAGAATCGCGGGTAATCCCGCTATCGTACGAAAATCGTACAGTGTATGGAAGGCGTCTTCCGTCAAACAAGCAGGCTTGAAAACCTGCCGAGAATCGTACGATTCCCGGCGGGTTAGTGGCCGGCTTGTTCGACAACTGCCCAACGGGCCGGTGTGCACACGCGCACACTGCCCGTTTGCAGTGATCGGAAGCCTGCCCCTCACTATGGTCATCGAAAGCCCGCCCCTCAGCGGGGCAGGCTTTCGACGATCGCAAGTACGATATGCCCGTCCAAGATGGGCAGATCGTACAAGCTTTCAATAAGCTTACGACCATCGCAAGACAGAAGTCTTGCGATGGTCGTAAGGTGTATGGGCACCTTTACATCACCCAATTTTCACCAGTTATGTGGCAGAATTGTAAACACATCTAGTGACAGCATGGAAGGCAGTGATGAGCCCGAACGAGCACTTGAAAGCAATGAAAGACAGCAGTACGTTTGCTCCATAGAGGAGAGAACAAGCTCTTCACTGCAGACACATTGAAGGAAGAAATTGTTCAGGTTGGGAGGAAGAGTCATGACAGGTCTCTGTTGTTGTCATTCTATGGATATGTATGTTGTGTAGGATTCTATACAATACATCAAAACTTTAAAAGGATCCTGCCAGGGTCGATGTGGAAACTAGTATTTGAAAGTGCTTTCCTCCTCATCATCTTGGCTTCAATGCCTTGTGAATCATTAAAGGAAAAGGAAAGTCGATACAAGAACCCACCTTTTAAACGTTGCCTCCATATTTGCCTTGCATTCCCTGCGTACATTTGCTCATAAACCACAGTGTAAATACCTATTTATTCTATGTGGTTGCATGACCGCAAAGCTCCAGCTAGTCTGTGTGGGGGCTTCTAACACTGCTGAATCCCAGGGGGAGAGAGTTTGCGCCCACCAGCCGCAGAGAAAAGGGATAGAGCCGGAATTTTGAGCACATGTGACCACATTAAAAAAACATTAACAAAAGATATTTACATTACAATTTATTAGAAAAACATGCAGGGATTATAAAGGCAAGTGGTGTGGTGCTCCTTAAGGGCAGGGACTGATGTGAATGTGCAACTATGTAAAGCACTGTGTAAATGGTCAGCGCTACATACATACATACCTGTAATATATAAATAAATAAACCTTTAAAAGGTGGATTATTGTATTGACTTTCCTTCTATTTTAACCAAGCTGCATGACTCGCTAAGCGCCAGAGACATGACACTGATATGTACATACTGGTTTTGGGTTAGCAACTCATTAAGAAGTAAAGTGATATTGATGGCGCCAGGAGTTTGCTCCTCTTTAAACAAGTCAGCAGTGACAGCCTCAGAATCTCTCCCCTGACAGGTTCTCTCTAAGGATTTCGCTTTTTCATTTGCTGTTTAACACAGCACTATACACCGATCAGCCATAACATTATGACTACTGTCAGCAGGTGATTGATTGTGTAGCCCCCTATCACCTTCTGTGATGTGGCTACTAGACATTTAGTGATAGCCAGGGCTGTACTCAGCCTGGCTGGAATTATAGTGTCAGTTATCTGGTTAATTCCAGGTGTCTGACATTGCCTGCACCCCCCTGGGCGGAGTGTGACTCTGTCATATTGTGGGACAGCCAATGAGAGATGCTATAGTGTATGTACAGTACAGCAGCCAATCACTGGCTTTCTCTCAACCAGTGGTGCATGCTGGGATAGGTTACATATACTGGAGGGATTTGCTATGTGCTCAGACTAACCGGGACCAGCCATGGAATAGGGCTGGGTACTGTTCAGCCTGCCCCCCAGGCTAGGCCTAAGGCCTGGGGGTGGGCATGTGCTAGTGTGAGGGAAATGTTTCCCTGAGGCCTCCAACATGGAGGAGCCCTGTGTTGCTGATAGAGGAAAAGACCCAGGACCAATGCTGGCTCTTGAAGTATCCTGGAACTAAGAGGACTTCAGGAGTAAGGCCGGTGTCTTTCCTGTTGAGGATCTGTGTTCATTCTGCACATCTGCTACATCAGTTGCCATCTGCTGCCTCCCTAGGGAATCTACATGACATGCCAACCAGGTCTGGCGAGTCTGGAGGTTTTGTCAGTTACCTCTGGAAGCTTAGAACCCCTATAACCTCTCTCGGCAGTGAAGATGTTCAATAAACCGTTATTTTGCATTATACTTCTGGAGTGGACATCTGTCTGCGGGCACTAGAAGGAGGGCGGTTAATGCTAATGGATGGGCAGCTGAAGATCATACCCTAGACAGAGTTGAACCGGGCATCCAGCGGCTCCTTCTGGGGTGAGCGCTACAATTGACATTGCTTTTGTCGTTTCAATGGCACCTGGAAATGGGTGGGATATATTAGGCAGCAAGTGAAAATTCTGTTGCTGAAGTTGATATATTGGAAGCTGCAGCTCTTGTGGGATGTTCCTGGTCTGCAGTGGTCAGGACCTACCAAAAGTGGTCCAAGAAAAGACGGTGACCCTGCAACAGGGTCATGGGCGGCTGAGGTTTATTGATGCAGGTGGGGAGCGAAGGCTGGCCCGTGTAGTCCAATCCAATAGAAGAGCTACTGTAGCTAAAATGGTTTGGTGCCAGATACCACAGCATACCTTCAGGTGTCTAGTGGAGTCCATGCCTTGATGGGTCAGGGCTGTTTTTGAAAGCAAAAGGTGGTTCTGCTCAATAGTAGGTGGATGGTCATAATGTTATGGCTGATGGGTGTAACTAAGTGCATATTGTCATCCAATTCAGGCTGAGGCAGGGCAGGATCTAGTGTCCTAAATAAAGAATTCTACAGAGAAGTATGTTCTGTATGTGACTATATGAGCACCTAACTGCAAGCCTTATTTATCCAAGATTCTTCAACCAGAACTGGCCTGCTTTCCATCAGTATTCCAGTGGGAGGCTCCTTTGTGTTTTCCCCAGCACAGTGTGGTAGAGTGACAGGATGAATGTGGGTTTACTATGGCATTACTGTGGCATCTATATCAGAGTATTGATGTAGTTCCACTTTAAAAATCTAACTATGGCAGTGTTTGCGAAGCGTGTGGATGCTCTGTTTAATAATAAATTAGAGACAGCAAGATCTTTTCTTCCTCCAGTCACTTCTTCAAGTCCACAGAGGTGTAAGCCAAACATAAAAGCCCAAGTCCAGGCTAAATATTTGCTCATATGGTCCCCCCAGCTGGTTAAAAAAAGCAGACAGGTGTCAATACTTACCTATATTCCGGTACTGTCCCCCGCAATACTTCTTTTCTGCCACAAGATGTCCTCAGCCAGCCCAGCTTCATTCAAACTAAAGCTAGCCATGCATGCAGGGCTGGATTACCATTCATCAAAATAAAGGAAGGGGGCACCACCGAGTTTTCCCCTTGTTATCATGCCCTCAAAGGATAAGTGCACCAATCCCACCTTCCCCCTTCACAAATGTGTACGTACCGAGATCAGACTGCCGCGCCCCCCTTTGTATATTTACATTTTGTGCTGCAAGTCCGCTCTCCTGGCTGTGCAGGCGCGTTTCAGCCCCATTGACTTCAATCTTTTATTGAACTCTCAGCACTTATTGAGCTTTAAATGTTTTGTAGCTTAAGCAATGGAGGGGCCAAGGGGAGCTTTCCATTCACAGTGTATTGATGCACAGAGTGGTGCTGACATGAGTTCTTTACATCACACATTATCATGCGTAGACTGAAAAAGTACCAATGTCCACCAGGTGAGAATATTAAACTAGAACTCCGGACAAAATGTTTACTAACCCTTGCAGTGAGGCTACCTCCGCTTTGCAAGGGTTAACTGCTTGTTTTTGTCTAGGGTTAAAAAAAAAAAGTTATACTCACTTGAACCGCTAAGCCAACTTATTGTTAGACTGGTCCCTCCAGCCTCTCTCCACCTCTTCTGCAGTGGTCTGAGTTCCCATAAATCATCATGTTCTATACACTGTGTATAGGCACGAGGACGCTGAGTAACCTTCCAATGCTGCGGCTTCAGTGACCATAGAAGCAGGGAGCCCGATCAGCATTTCAGGTGAGTGTAACGTTTTTGGTTTTTTTAGCACCTAGTCAAAAATTAGCACCTAACCTTTGCAGTGCAGGTGTAGACCCTCTGCAGGGGTTAATAAACGTTTTGCCCCGAGTTCTTCTTTAAAGCATATCTAAATCCAAAACCAAAAATGTATTATATTGCAGCTTGCCAATCCTTAGATGTGGTGGCTGCAATAGTTTTCCTTTTATTCTCATCTGGTGGTCCAGCCAGTAACACACTTGCAGTCTTAGGCTATCAACGCTCACTCCTGCAGTGTATCTATAGAGGGGCAATGTAGCCACCCTTGGACAGCTACTTTGTCAGCCATTGGACAGGGTAGTGTTAAATGGAGTAGTAGCTATAGATGGACATAAGATTATGCCATATTTCCTATCACATACTCAGGCTTTGCTTCCTGCACAATGGTTGTGGTTTATTGTGACTTCTCACAATGTAAGTTGACTGACTTATTGAAAACAATGTGTTCTCTATACTGCTGGTATCTTATCTCAACAGTTGTTAACAGAGAGTGAGAGAGAGAGAGAGAGACTGAGGTTGCGCTGAGCCAGTGAGATCTCCATCAAGTGGCTACAATACTATATATATAATAAAATCGTAAAAATAAGCAAAGTACGCTTGTAAAACAATTGTAAAGCTGCAGTAATAACTTTTATTGTGTTACAGATTACAACACTCTTGTAATGAAGTTGTTATTCACCCTGAGCTTAGGTATTTTTTTTTTTTATTCATTGTTAGGTACCAGAGGCAAAAAGAAGAGTCTATCACGAAGCACGGAGAGTTTCTGGGAGCACTCTGCGAATAGTTCCAAGGAGAAAGTTGCCAACCAGTGTCTCCTGCCAGCTGGGAGAGTCATTGACGTGGATGGAGTGAAACCCAGTTCAAGGAGGAATGACTCCGGGGATGATGTGGGCAATCTAAGCTTTGAGGGGTACATTTCCGAGCTAAAGACTTGCAAGGGCCGAATGCGGACTGGTGTGTACAGGACATCTGACTTGCCAGCAATGGTGACGGCAAAGACGGACAGGAAGAAAGAATCAGGCACAAAATATAAAGCCACCTTTGTGTAGGACAGAGGAAAGCTGGACACAATGGGACTTGTAGATTTGAAGCCGCTGGAAAGCCATGGGATGCCTAAGTTAAAGTATTTCTTAAGTCAAAGCTTTTCAGTAAAGAGTTAAACCACCTGTCAGGCCTTTTTGCCATCTGTGTCCCTTTGGGGAAAATTAGCTTTACTCCCTGTCCCAGAGACACAACAGGAAGTAAGAAGAGGTCTCTCCAAAATAAGGAAAATCCTTCTTAGACAGTGATCACCTGAACAAGAGTCCCTAGAATTGGAAGATTTCCCCCTTGTTCCTAATGCAGTGACAAATCTATTTTTGGATTCACTTTCACTGTCAGTGACAATGGTCACAGGACACAGAGTGTATATCTTCCCATTGAGGACAGAAACAAAAGTAGAAACCTGACATGGTTTCTAGCCCTTCTACACTCTATTCAAAAGCGTTAGATACTCTTTAGGGTGAAGCACTGCCACAAATGTTATCAGTGATGTTGTATGTCAGTTGGACTCCAGATACATTTCCGTTTGGCTCATTATTCCAGATTTTGTCTATTTTTCATTTTGGTAAATATTTTGCCAATGTTTTTTACTTTCAGGTGCTGGTGTCATGGAAATATTGTAGCACTTCCTGGGCAACCAATCAGATTCTCATATAGGAAAAATCCTATTGGCCTGAAGGTTAGATGAGACCATTGTAGGTGTAGAATGGGGAGATTATAACATTATGTCCCCAAAAATGTCACATCCAAAGACCATCAGGAACTTTCCCCCATGTGCTGTGTGTAAGAGGTCACAGAAATAATGTTCCAAGGCACCTTAATCCTACCCAAGGGGAGAACGGGACCTCTTAGGCCCCATCCATGTCTCTCATGATTGCTCGTTCTTGGGGCAAAGAGGTAAGTGCAGCACCAAGAGAAACCAATCAAGATCGGAAATTCTGATTGATTGCTATGAGTTACCCCACTTTCTACTTTGCTCCTTGAATAAAGCAGCTTGTGTCTGTGCATGTTTCTCCACATAGGCCATATGCTATGTCCTTTCTGTGTGCCTAGTGACACATTTTAAAATATTTCTAGTCAAAAAAATTTTTTTCTATGTCCCACTGGGGAGATTTCCCTTCACTTCCTGTCTTAGAGACACTGATCTGGTAAGCAGGCAGTAGTGGTCAGGACTTGAGCTTACCCTGGGCTTGGTGTCAACCCAGTTCCCCCAAGCCTGCGCAAGACTCTGACCGCCACCCCCTACTACAGCCTCAATAAGTTCCAGGCAGGTGCATTCTCTGTCCCAGCGGCTATACATCAGGAAGGGCTGGGCAATGCCTCCCTCCCCCCGCCAACAACAGTGGCCATGGATTGGATTGGGTTGTGGTTGAAGGTGGGGTTGGCGGCCAGAGTTTTGAGTGTGCTTAGGTGAGCTCAGGTGAACTGCCCAGCCTCATCTCTAGTCAGGACAGGTCCCTGGGAAGGGGAAGCGAAAATCAAGCCCTGGTGCCATTTTTCCAGCACAGATGAAGTGAAGACAGTAACCCCAGCTTGGTATTGGCAACAAATGAAACTTTATTAACAGATTTAGAAGAAAATCGCCCATGTGTGCCCCTTCTGAACCCATATGATCAAGTAGATGAGGGCATCTTTCTCACAGTTCCTCTGATGGAAAACAAAATCCATTTGTTTTCCCAAAGCTCAACCAAGCTTTCCCCCTGCCAGCATGTTACAGCAAAGGACCCTTGCTCTATGTCTGGAAGCAGCACTCTCTCTGCAGAGGTCTGAAATACGTCCTGAGGCAGTGGCGTCGCAAGGGGGGTGTGGGGGGTGCAGCCCACACCCGGGTAACACCATTGCAGGGGTGACACCAAAATGACTGACAGTCATTTTGGTGTCACCCCCTCTAAAAGGTCGGGCACTGGGTCATGGACCGAGAGCCCGACAGTGTCAGGAGAGAGGAGGGGACCCAGCGGCATACCTCATCCTGCCAGGTGAACGTCTCCTCCTCTCTTTGCTGCGGTCCATCACCTAGATGGCCGCGCGAGGTGACGTCACGAGCACGCGCGATGACGACACGGCGGTGTTTCACCTGGTCTAGAGACCGGGTTACACCCGGCCTCGGTACGCCCCTGCCCTGAGGAGTCAGAACTACAGCTCACTAATCAGTATAAGCTTTGCTCATTGGAGAGCCGTCATGTGGTGAAAGAAAGTCGAATGCCTTCAAGAGAACCTGTCACTATTTTATTCAGTGCCTTGATGAAACAGAGGGTTTTACAAATGTCCCAAAACGCATCAAACTATGAGAATTTGGGAGTCTGGCTATTTTTATATACTTGTAAAATATTGTTGAATAGAAGGATTTTTATACATGTGGTGTTGGTGGAAAGTCAATGCACTTTTATGTCCTGTCACTGTAAATGTCCGTCTTGCACCCCCCGATGTATATAAATACCATGTACATATAATTGACGCCTTTGTATTGACAATGAGATGGCCATGCTTGTATCGCACCATTGTGGCTGGATTGAATTAAATTATTTTTAACTGCAACCTCACTGCAATTTTTCTTATTTTACATACTGAGACATAAAGGAAAACATATTGGAAAACTGTCAATATTTGTTGTCGTCCTAAAAGTTATAGTTTCCCTTGTTTCCCTTTATTCCAAGGGAATGGATTGCCAACAGGAGACGACTATAATGGTAACAGTCCGAGAATTACAGTGGGATGTGCTGATTTCAGGCCATGAGGCCGCTGTGTACGTTGTAAAGAGCGCCTTTTTGAGGACAGTCCCCACCCTGCCCACAGAACTAGACTAAGAATTCCCAAATTAAACCTAAAACCAAAAATGGGATATACTGCAGCGTACCAATCCTTAGACGTAATGCTTGTATTAGTTTTCTGCTTTTCAGGCTTTTTTCCCCTGACTTTTTCCCTGGTGATCCTCCAAATAATACACTTCCTATCTCTCTCTACGCTCACTGCTCACTGGCACCCAGGCTGGACTACAAAAAGGCCTGCCTTTGATCATCTCCATTGCAAGGTGGATGGGGAAATTAGTAGTTCGCAGAAGAATGATAAGGCTATTTTTGCTTTCAGTTCATCTTACAGAAAGCAACAAGGACACTGCGTTTCTGGCAGGATCAACAATTATTTTCTGTACTTTTTCAGATATCCTTCAATTTTCAGTTTTAATGACGTGCCTCTTTATAAAGGCTGTCCACCTTTGTGACCATGTTACATCCAAATTTAAAGTGTAACAAAGCATGGTCACATTCCCCCACCCCGAAACCACCCCCAAATTACCTGAATGGCGGGGTGCTTCTCCCTGTTATTTTAATTCAGCGTGGCTGTGTGTGGCTCCGTCAACACAGCACCATCATCTGTTCACAGATCTATTCACAGGGATCTGTCAATGGGAAGACTACAAGGGACACATTGAGTGCTGTTGTCACACTTGTAATCCATTGTTTACTTCCTCCAGCTCTGTAACAGAAGGTCCATACCTCCGTATAGACCTGGGGCTGGGATATAAACAATGCAGGAGTCTGTGTATTCCACCTATAATGCACTGAAGGTAGTTGCAATGCTTAGCAGGCTTCAAGAATTTAATTAATGCACATTTTTTATATTTTTATGTGAGTGCATTTATTCAATATTTGCATATTATGCAATATATGCATTATGCGTATTTATGTAATATTTGCATTAAATATAGTTATAAGGTGAATTATTTTTATTATTATTATTAAGAAGGATTATATAGCACCAACAGTTTGTGCAGCACATTATAAAATAGGGGGAGACAGCACAGTTATAATACAATTCCAAACAAAGAGGATTAGAAGGCTCGTGAGAGATTACAATGTAAATGCCTTTAAATTCAATAAAGGTTACCAAGCAGTGGAGAGATGCGGTGGAAAGCGCTATGTGATATATGGAGAATCAACAAATTATTTTTCTCAGGAAGTGTAAAGCAACCTTCAAACTTTTTTTATATAATATACTGCAAAACAAGACTGATAAAATGAGTCTTAAATAATTCCGGGGTTTCCACAGCAACCAATTATTTCTAGGGTGGAGAGTTCTTACATTTCAAACAGCCTGTACATTTCTCAGTTGAATATAAGTTAGGATATTTATTTTTTGTAGATCACCTAGTGATATACTTAGATTACCTGCTTGTTCTCCTGCTCTCTGCAAATATTAAAATGAAGCCTACTACTCCGTAGTCCAACACAGCGGGATTCCCAATCACTTCAGTTCTGCAGGGACACAAGGGATAGTACACGTCCAGTATTACCCAACCCCAAAATGCACAATATAAACAACAAATAAATATACTAAAACACCTGATATATGAATGTGAAATCATCTTGGCCAAGGCCCTTTATTTGGGTTTAAATTTACCTGTAAGTTGAACTTTTATGAACCCATAAGCCGTAAACATTGTATAACCAACAATCTGCAAGACTCAAGCACCATAAATGAAACAGAACTGGTCGTCTTAAATCATGTGAAATACTGATCACCCACAAAGTGGGCGGCGTTACCCAACTGCCAGGCTTCTCAGCAGACGGAAAATCAGCTAGAATTGTCCAACCACAAAATGGGCAAGATTCCCCTTCTACCCAATAGATAATTGCCCCCTTACCCTAATCAGATAGAAGTGTCCACCCACAAAGTGGGCAACATTAGCTCCCTAAAATTGCAACAAACCAGGTGGGAAGCTCACAGTTTGCGGTTGTCACCACCTTGTAAAAGTAAAAGTACTTTGCTATTGAATGTTGTTTTTTCTGACCAATCCGGTGATGAGCTGTGCCCTTCCAGCGTGTGAGTCGGGCTTCCTGCGCCAGGAATAGCAGTCACTCCAGTAATTTCAGGAATCTTCTCAGTTACAAGTGGTCAGTGATCTAAACTTGCTACTCACTGGAAGGACGTGCCTTCCATGGAACAAGCCTTCATAGTCCATGGGCTGGCTTCTTCTGGCTCCCCCCAGAATTACACAACATAGGAACCCAAGACCCCAAATCACCAAGGCAGAGCCCAAGAGTGTATGAATCAGCCGGGGTTGTTACC